CCTGAGCTCCTGCCTATCTTCTCTCCATGATGAACTGTAAGCTGATGGGAAAGGCCTGATCCAGCTCTCAGGAGCAGTGGCTCTGCTCAGGTTGCAGTGATTGGTTCTAACAAGCTTTCTAGGGGCCATGGTGCTGTTCAAGGTGAGACCCACCTGGGGAGCTGAGCTAGGTGGGGTGAGCATCACTCACAGTGACCAGGAGCAGGAAACAGAATCCTGAAAGACAAACACTGAGGCCAGTAAGACTCAGGACCACACAGACCTTCTCCAAGGACCAAGGTGGCCCCTGGGCAGTGGCCTGTAATGCTGCTTCTCCACCTCTCAGTGTTAGGACAGAAGGCCACCTAACTGAAGGCTAGTGCAGGCCTGGTTGATACCCCAGGGTGACCCTGGCCAGGCCGCTTGTGGGTTAACGAATTCAAAAGCTTATGCAAACAAGACTTGCCTGCTGCCTTGCGTGGCCTGGCCTTTCCCAGAGGTCCCTGATCCTGTAAAATGGACTATAGAACAGGTAAGTGCAGATGCTTAGGAAACACGTGGGAAAAGGGAGGCAGAGCAGGCAGGAGTGTAAAGTCAGTAAATTTGAGCCTCTTCCTGTAAGGGTGTGCGGTAGCCAAGCCACCCCTTTCTCCTTACCCACATGCATTTGGGAGTGAGCTAGGCATCCTGGGAAGGCAGAGGTAGGCTAGGCTGCTGCAGGAGGAACCCTCTGCAGGCTTCACCCCCTCAAGCACCTCACAGAGCAGGCAGGAGTGTAAAGTCAGTAAATTTGAGCCTCTTCCTGTAAGGGTGTGCGGTAGCCAAGCCACCCCTTTCTCCTTGCCCACATGCATTTGGGAGTGAGCAGAGGAAGGCAGAGGTAGGCTAGGCTGCTGCAGGAGGAACCCTCTGCAGGCTTCACCCCCTCAAGCACCTCACACTCCTTTTGAAGTCTACTTTGCAGTGCTATGTGGCCTTGGGCACAGTCCACTACCTCTCTAGGCCTTACTTGCCCTCTTGGATTTACTTAATCTTACCATAGCCCATCTGGTTCATTGACCCATAGGTCTTGAGAGAAATGCTGAAAATTAGAACACAGGCAGCTTTAAGACCCTCAGCTAAATGAGATAAGCTGTGACTTTTGACATTTGGACAAACGTTTACTGAGCAGCTGTGTGTCCCTTTTCCCGTGCTGAGATTTAGGTTTGAGCAAAATGACAAGAGAGGGTCGGGGATGCCGCCCGGCCAGACGTGCAGTGTGGGCAGGAAATGCTGACCTGATGTGGGCCTTGGAAAGAGAGGCTGCCAATGAAAGTGGATGCCCTGGAGGGGCTAGGCAGGAGGTGGTCTCTGAAGCTCTCCAGGTGGCTCCAGTGTGCAGACAGGTTTGGGGAGCATATTCTGGGGCGTTTGCGATGAATTGTACTGGGTAGTGTTTGCATCATGGCACCAGAGCATTTACCAGGGACAGTGGCAGGACCAACTATGCTTTCTTGACTGGAAAATGACCGTACAGGCTGAGCTGGGGCTCAGTTGGTGAGTACTTGCCTAGCATACACACAAAACCCTGGGTTCAATCCCCAGCACTTAATACCGTCAGATGTGGTGGTGTGTATCTAAAACCCCAGATGTGGTGGTGTGTGTCTAAAACCCCAGCAAGGGGATTTCAGAAACGGGGGGGGGGGGGATCAGAAATTCAGGAACTTTACCTAGCGAGTTCAAGGCCAGCCTGGGCTACATGAGACCATCTCAGAAAAAATCAAAGCAAATGACTGTCCTTAGAGGAGAGGTAGCCATGAGATGAGGCTGGCCTTGGATGTGGGGAATGGTCTAAGTGCAGTTGAAGGTCACACTGAGTGCCATGAGGCTGGAGCAGGGTCGGGAGTTGGGAGGACCATGGCAGTTCAACTCCAGTGGTATCGGTGGAGGGGGAGGGGCATGGGCACTGGACATGTCACATCTGAGTTCTGTTTCAAGGTATAATCAAGGGTATTTGCTGGTCACCCAGATGAGGCAGGAGAGGGCAGACAGTGTCAATTATTGGCAGCTGGGCAGAATGCAGTAACACACAATCATTGTGGAGGAGGGTGGGGCCTGCTCATGGGAGGAGCAAGAGCTGGGGTCTGATTGGGCTCAGCCCGAGAAACTTGTTGAACTGGACAGGTGAGGGGGGTTCTGGCATTTGGGGGAGATGGAGCCTGACATAGGGATGAAGGGTTGCTGGGGCTGGGCTGTCCCATACAGGAGCCGCCCACCACTCAGATGTTTGGAGCATGGTCACTTGAAGTATACGATAAATGTAAACTACATGGTGTGTGTGTGTTGGGGGAAGAGCTCAGATGTACTGCTCCAAAATGCAAAATACCTCACTTTAAAGTACTGTTTTCATGTTGAAATAGTACTTTGGGGGACTGGAGAGATGGCTCAGCGGTTAAGAACACTGGTTGTTCTTGCAGATGACCCAGGTTCGAATCCCAGCACCCACATGGCAGCTAACAACTGTCCGTAACTCCAGTTCCAGGGGATCCAACAGCCTCTTCTGACCTCTGAGGGCACTGCACGACACGGGTGCACTTACCTACATGCAGGCAATACATGCACACACATTAAAAAAAAAAAGAAAAGAAATAGTACTTTGGATGTGTCAAGTTCAATGAAATAAAAATTCCAACTGTCTTTTATCTTTTCTCTGGGATTATTGGGAAGTTGTAAGTGGCATATGGCTCTTGTAGTATTTCTGTCACATAGCTGCTCGGAGGGAAGAGTCCACCAGAACGGGAAGTAGGACACAAGGTAAGGTCTGAGGACCTGTCCTGGCCCTTCAGCATCTAGAGGTGAGGGACAGAGGCACTTGAAGAGTTTGGGGATAACAGAGCAGAGTCCTGGAAGAAGAATGCCCTGGGACATGCTGAGGGACAGCTTGGGACAGGCAGAGAGGCAGTCAGGTATGGCAAGGGTTGGGTTTGGCAGGCAAGGACCAAGGAGGAATGGTGGCATCCAGGAAGGCTGGACCAGCGTGGTGATGGCTGGGGTCCTCAGAACCTGTGCTGAGGAAGGGGTGTGGCCAAGAATTCATGGAGAAGCAGAGGGGAGGGAGAAAAGATGGGAGAGCTCAAAGACACTGGAAGGTCACTGCTACAGGAATGCTAGAGGACATGGCTGGAGGACAGTGGCTCAAGGTGACATACTTGATATGGGACAGCAGGGGTAGAAGGATCTGGAAGGGTAAGAGTGGCAGGACAGGAAACTCCAGGGAGGAAAGACAAACTGGAGTGGGAGTGGGGAGGCCAGTCACTGGTGAGAGAGAAGTGACAGAGGTCAGCATCCGAGGCCACCCTGGGGCAGTGATAGGGTGCGGCTAGATAGTTGGAGTCTGCAAGGAACTGTTTCCCAGTATCTGGTGAGGGCCATCATGTATCATGTGAAGGGCAAGACCAGGAGAGAGAGTAAACCTGAGGCCACCAGACTCGTTCTTGCAGACCCACTCCTGAGATGACCAACTCTGTCCTAGGTGGAGCTTCAGTGATGGTCACCTCTCATCAGACCCCATTCCGAACCCTGCACTGTGGATTAAGTTTCTAATGTGAACCTCGGGGACACATTCACAGCCACAGGTTTGTAAGGAGGCAAATTTTTCTTAAATTATTTTATTTTTAATTATGCATATTGTATGTGGCTGTGCATGTGTCTTTGGGTACTGTGGAGAACAGAGGTGTCAGAGCTGGGGTTACAGGCAGTTGTGAGCCACTGGTGCTGGGAACTGAACTCAAGTCCTCTGTGAGAGCAGTATACACTCTTGACTGCTGAGCCATCGCTCCAGCCCATATTAGCTGGCTTAAAATAGAGAAGAAGGAAGAAAGTGTATTGAGGTTGGGGTGAAGAGACATGCCCCACCTGAGAGAGCAGCAAAAGGCATTTTTCTAGTGAATTTGAGGCTGGGAGGGAAGGAGATTGGACCAGCCAAGGTGACCCAGGCTATGGCACAACGGAATCGGTCCCCCACATTCTCTTCCACCTTCCATTTAGGAAACCCCATGCAGGCTAGGCATGTCCCCACCTAAGGGGACTGGGGAAGTGGGAGGCTATGGGGCCTGGCCTGAGCTTATATCACACACCCCCAGACACCAGTGTGGGCCCCACTCCTCTTCCAGTCTTCTCCAGAGTATAGGTTGGACCACAGTGATGTCCCTGCAGGCCTGGTGAGAACCTTCCATGTCTGAGTTGCTGCCATCTTGAGATCTTTCCTACTCTTGGTTCGTGGTTAGAAACTTAGAGCTCCTACAAGCTCTAAGTGGATTTTCAGGCTATTGTGTCATTTTCGGGGAATCACGTTTGTTTCTCTTAATTGGGCCTCAGGTCAGGTGTCACTCTGGCCAGGACAGCCCCTTTGGCCTGTGGTTCTCAACCATTTCCACCCCTGGGGACATTTCTGGTTACATAAATTGAAGAGCTGCTACTAGCATTCAGTGTGCAGAGGCCAGAGATGCCCCACTGTAGAGTCACCCAGCCTAGAACAGTGAGCCAAGGCCGAGACCCCCCCCCCCCCCCCCCC